TGACATGTTAAACTCGGCTTTAACTTTTAGCATTTTGAGAGATACATATTACTCAGAATTTGATATGCAACTCTCTCACAATAGATTTGAGTTGCATTTAGTAAAAAAGTCAATTCCTGAGCTTTGTGGTTTGGTGCATATCCTCCACTCGACTTAGATAATAATGTATTTTACAATCAAAGACCATTTCCTTAAATCGACTTGATTGAAATTCAGGTTGAGGTTCATAGCTTGTCGAAGGAGTAGAGTTATATATTGTAGGGTTGACTTCATAATGTGCAGTTCAAATCTAATAATTAGGTTTAAATCACTAACAATATAAATCATATTTGATTTCATTCGGCGTTAAGTGTCTTCTATTTTTATGTTTCGAACATAGACACTAAAACATACCTTTAAATAGGTACATCAGAAGATTCGATGCCACTACCATGAAGACGCCAACCCTGTTCAAGAACCTCTTAATGATTCATTTTTTATCTGGATAAAGCCTATTGTATATTTACAACCTTGATGTACAAATATCGATAGATAATCTGAATCATCACAAAACCTAAGACATCAACAAGTGCAATCAACACGGTTCGATTAAACATAAATATGTGTATGACTTTTAGGTGTTACCTTTCAGTCTAAGAAAGGAAATTTTATTAAATAAATAATGTCTTACATGACTGGCATGCGGAATATTCAAATGTGGTGGCATGAAGGGTAGGAAAAAAAAATCTTGGTGACATTTGTAATATTGTAAAGTTATAGGTTAGGGCAGAACTGAGGGTTTTGTGATGTCTTTTGGCCATGATTGCATGAAGGTATGGAAAAATCTTGAGGGCTAGCTCGAGTAGTGCTTGATGGAGGCTTTTATTTCATTTTTTTTTTTACATATTCGAGTATCTCTTTAAACTCTCGAGTCGAGTTGGATCTAACTAAAGCTCATGTAACATACGAGCTCAAATCTAAGCTCGAGTTCGACCTCCTGGATTGATAAGCTCAACTTGTCAGCACATTAATGAGACTGAGCAAATTTAAGAGAAATAATCTCTTCTTAAAAAAAATGTCATCTACCATTTCTGAGCACATTAACGATACATTATAATGGAAATTAAACTCATTCACTCCATATGCTTACCTTCGCTGTGGGTCCTTATTAAAGTGATCTTTTGTATATGGAGATGTTATTTTTCCATATATATATATATATATATATGTACTCTGACAGTTAAATATATATACACGGTGCTTACATTCAAAGATATTTGATTTTTTTTTATTTTGAAAAATTTACGTACATATCACTTAATTTCTTATGTATTTAGACATCTAACAATGAACTTCAATTTTTACCGACGTACCACCTTACTTATGCATGAAAAATGTGTGCTTCGCTTTTTCGAAGTTATTGCTATTTACAAATCCAACATAAAAAATTATTACTATTTCAGGCATAAATTTTTGTTACAAATCTAACATCAAAAAATTTTACATACATACCTCCGCGCTGCATAAAAAATTTATTATCAAAGCATCCGAAACGTCGCTATTTTCAAATTTAGCACCATCTTTCATCCATTTTTCAAATTCTCTCTTAGATATCAAAATTCATGATAAAACACAATCAACATGTTTCATTTTTATCAAATTCTTAATAGTTCGATCGTTGCACGCATAGATATATCGATTTAGCAGTTCAAAAATATCAACTGTGTTGAATGTTGTAACAATGTTAAAAGTTTGAACTTCTCTAAACATACAAACTGAAAATGCGAAAAAACTAATAGTTCAATTTACATAAAAACTTGGAGAGATGACTGATATGAAATTACCTTTGCTTTGGCTGTAAGAAATCATGATTTGGTGCACCATAGCGAAAAAGCAAGCTAAAGGGGCGCGTGCGGCTTTTGACAATCGCGAGAGGTGGGAGGAGAAAATGCGGAAATTTTAGAGTTGGTTCGGTATTTAAAGAATTTTTTGTTAGCTTACCCATGATCTGATTGTTGGTGTATAGCCCAAAATTGATGATGTAGATTTCTGATGATCTATGGTCGTCGGTTTATAATTTACAATGAACCGGCAGAAATAAACAATCGGTTCGTCCTCGGTGACCGTCGAAAAAGTTTTTTACTAATTATCTATGGGCTACGACCTTACGTGTCGGCAAGCCGTCGAAATTTAGCCTTCCCATATAATATCGACAACCCGTCGAAATTCAACTCGATATTTCCAACACACGTAAAGTCGTTGGTTATTCCGTTGGTAATAGTTGTTTTCCGATAGTAAATATTCATATTACATTAAAAATAGCACTATTTTAACTTTTAAAAATTCAAATTGACGTTTTATGCAAAAATATGATAACATATATATATATATATATATGTAAAAATTTAAATTTAGGTGTTAAATATGTCAATGAATAGGATTAAGTTGTAGGTATGTAATTCTTCCTTCATTATTTATGTTTTAAGTCATAAAGTTTTTATTAGATGGAGTAGAAAATCTTAAGAAAAAATATCTAATATATATATTTTTTTTCATTTTAATTGATAAAACTTAAAAGGAAATTCAAATTATATTTTTGTGCATATTTGTCGCTTTGTAGCTATACTCTTCACTTTTTAGTACGTCACGCTTATGTCAAATTAGTTAAGAAAATGCCGACTGCGGTCGAAATAAATAAAAGTTAATTAACTTTTGTTCCAGTGAAGAATTAAGTTGAGTCTGCGTTTCAGGATAAACAACTTATCATGAAATGAGGCCTGCGGGTCGACCGCGGGGTTTGACCCACAGCCCGCATTTTGTATAAAAATGAAACTGTGTTTTCAGTAAGCAGACAAAACGCACGAACCAAATGGTGCCGGCGTTTTCAAAAACGCCCCCACACTTATAAGCTGCCCAAACAGTTCCATTTTATTGTTTGCACAAATTTATCAGGTAAGTTCTTAGCACATTACTTCATTGTTTGCACAAATTGTTGCAAAATGCAGAACTGCTGCATCAACTGCATTTATTTATTCGACATTAATTTAATTTTCCTTCTGCATTCCTCTTCAGCTACAGCCTGCGGCATCATTATCTTCACATGCACTTGATATTCTTAAACAATTAAAATTATAGATATATTAATTTATTTTTTAATTATTTTAAAGATATTAAATTTATGTAAATGTATATAATTTCTATTTTTTTAGCACATTATGTAATAATAATAGAGCTGATAGCTTCTTCAAAATGCAACATCTTAATCAACTTAAAATTAAAAATATTACCCTGTAATTTGAATCTTAAAAATGGTTTGATTTAATTCAAAATAAATTTAATATTAAATTTTTTTTTTTGTATTACATGCATATATTTTGGCTATAATTTTAATTACTAATAAAAAAAAATGATTATAATTTTTTTTGTCTTAATTTAGGGTCCAATTGGGACGAACTGTGGCATCATAATGCATTGTCCGTTTGAGTAAATTGTATTTTGACAATTTTTTTGAAAAACTACGATTGAAATTTGTATGTGGTGGCAGCTTTTCTAGATGCTGTAATAGCCACAGTAGTTTTTTTTTTTAATATTAAACTTTTCTTCAGCAGTTTCAAAGTTAAATTTTAGAGTGTTTGGGGCGGCAGTGCAGCGCCGCACTGTTTTTTTTTTTTTTTTGTAAAAAATATTGTTATC